GGCTGCCTTGAGCTTATTATCCTCCTGCCTCAGCCTCCCAAGTAGTTGGGATTACAGGCATGTGCCTGGCCCCCCACCTAGCTCCACACTGATTGTTGTTGTGATGTGACATTTCAAGGAAGAACTGCAATTCCACAGGAGTTCCCTTCCCCATTATATAATGAGTATGCACAAACCTCATGTATGGCAACCACTTTAATGTGACTTCATAACTAATCCATAGGAGGAAAATCACAACATGTTTAAAGGTCTGAGTATAAAACCGTAAATACGCAACAGAAAGTCCCCCCCCTCCCCTCAAACTGACATGCTCGACTTAGGCCAAATGTTTTCATTTTTCCCTTTCTGAGGGATAATTTTCATCTTTATTTACTTTTGCCAATTCCAAATACTTCATACAGCTAACAAGCATCCTGGAGGAAGACCCTTCTACCCTGTGAACAGAGGGTGCAAAGCTGAGTAGAGGCAGGGGCAATTTAGTTCTTGGAGGTGTATTTGGCGGGCGCAGTGGTGCATACCTGGAATCCCAGCAGCTTGGGAGGCTGAGGCAGGAGGATTGTGAGTTCAAAGCCAGTCTCAGCAACTTAGAGAGGACCTAAGCAACTCAGTGAGACCCTGTTTCTAAATAAAATATAAAAAGGGCTGGAGTTGTGGCTCAGTGGTTAAGTGCTCCAGGTTCAATCCCTAGCACCAAAAAAAAAAAAAAAAAAAAGATAGGTCTGGTATTAAAGATTCTTTACTTAAGGCACAAATGTATCTATTATTATTATTATTATTTATTTATTTATTTGGTGGCATGAAGCATCATCTCTTAAGAAGAGAGTGTGGTGAGAGACCTTGTTCTGGCTCCCCAGGGGACTCTGACAGCATATTAACAAGGGAAGGGGCAGAAGGAAGAAGGCCGGCAGGGGTGACCTGCGTTATTTTAGGAGTTTAAAACAATAAAGGCAACCTCTGATTCTGGCATCACCAAAGCTCAGAGGTAAGAATTGTGGAATTAGGGGAAGGCTTGCTAGAAAGAGGGAGAAGGGATAGAATATTCTGGCTTCCCTTTTGTCTCTATTTGATTCTTGGATAATTTTGGGGAAATTCTATTGCTCAGTTAGTTTCCTATGTTTTTATCCAGTTTTGGACTCACCACGGGTACCTAAGGAAGGAAACTGGCTGACTCAGAACACTCAGAACAGTCTGGACACAAGCGGGCAGTGAACCTGTGCTGGTGAGACCTAGCCTGCTTTGACATCTGACCTCTTAATGGTATCGGAGCATCCACCCAGGAGTGTGCTGGGGGCTGGGGCAGGGGTTTCCATCTTTTCCCTCTTTCTCCTAGTGGTGCATCCATTCAAGGCCCACTCCATGCCAACTCCTTTGTAATCCCCACCCCCACCCTTTGGCTCAGAGTCCTTCATAAACACCGGGACCAAGGCTCACAGTGCTCCAGCCTTTGGGTGGCTTCCTCCTCCCCCAGAAGTAGCTCTCCTTAGCTCTATGTGCCCCCTGAGGGCCTGCCTTGTGGCAACTGCTTAAGTAAGAATTACTGAATGAATGAGTTTCTCTTCTTTATAGCTCATACATAGAAAGGGAATCTTATTCTAAAAGTGAGAACAAACAGAAGAAATACGATTCTTGAAAGTGCCGACGGTGTTTCACAGTGCAATTTGTTCCTTAGATTTTTAAATGCTTTTGCCACTCACGTTTCTGACAACCATGATTCTAAACAGGATTTACCACACCTATGGCCAAGCATACTTTGGTAAGCAAATGAAGAACCTCAGCCTTTAAGTAATTCTTTGGACTAACTTCCCAATGCCTTCAGGTAATGTTCTCATTACTTGGGCTCCTCTGGGCCTCTCTTGTAATCTTCATTACTGAATCATCTACCACGTCTGCTCTATGGATTCAAATGCTCCTTCTTTTCTTCCCTATCACATGCTTTTCTTTACCTTGGACCCTCCCTACCTAACTATGGTATAAAATATGCCAGGGGCTTCATTGTGTTCTCTAATGGCTTACTGGCCTACTACTTAGGAGGGTCAGCCATGGTCACTTGCTGGTCTGGTGGGTCAGAAGCTCCTGGAGGGCAGGGGCTACAATGCCAGGCTGGCTTTTGAAGGCATTAAGCTTCCTGTACCAAGAGGTGCCCCACAAGCCTTGGTGATGATCATAATTAGATTCCTCTTCACACCCTACAGTATCTCCTCCTCCTGCTCTCACACCCACCCCTTAGCAACCATTTTAAAACACAGGGCGCATCAGAAGGCTGTTGTCTCTTGGCCCTCACTACCCTTACCTGGTCATCTTACTCTACATTTCTCTGCAGCATGCTCCTTCTGGCATCTGGATGTTTCACATTCAACACTGACATTTTCAGTTCCCTGTACCTAATATTTTTTGATCTTACAAATTCTGTTTTCTTCAATGTTCTAGAGACTAATAGTTTGCCTCCAGGATAAAGGAATATGATCAATGAAATCCCAAACATATTGATGGTAATCTTCACAAAAGTCTCTCTCTCTCT